TTCATAAAACCTGGGAAATAATTTTATTGCCTTAAAGTATTAAAACATTTTACCATTCTCCCTTTGGGATTTGTTTTAGCCCTTCCTTCAAATAGCCCATTAATCATTTCTTGAATAGCTATGGTGATCACTTGATCATCACCCATCTCCTCTCAACAATGTAGAAATCCTAAAATTCTTTTTATTCAAGGGTGGAGAATATTCGGCACCTAGAGATTCTGTGGTTAAAACAAATCTTATCTCAAAGCTATTGCATGGAGGTTATATTATATTAAAATTATCGCACAGATCACTATACAAAACATTTATTAAAGTTAGTAAATATTTACGAGTGAATCTTTTTCTTTAATTGATGTTTGTTTTTCCTTTTGTTTCCTTTTGTTTCCTTTTGTAAATATTAGTTTTCTTTAAATGAAAAGTGAAGCTCTGATTTATAGTGGGACTAGTCTATACTGTTTGAACATTGACCCTTAAGTTTTATCAAAATAAATGGTAATTCTGTTGGTTGGATAAATACCCATGATGTTTAATAATTACAGATCTTCCCTGGCTGTTCACCTTTAATGTGAAGTTTTACCCTCCTGATCCTTCTCAATTAACTGAAGATATCACCAGGTACTTTATATTTACTTTGAGAAATGAATCTTTACTTATTCTTGTCATTTATTTCTCTGCCCTGGGAGAATGGTAGTAATTTCAAGATTAAAACCAAAGCATTTTTTTGTAAGTTAAGTTGTAGAAGTTCCCTTGGAAATGGGTGAATGTCAACATAGTTAGAAATGTTGCCAGTTTCAAAAATTTTATTCTTTTCTTTTTTATAGTTAAGTAATGGAATATTTTAAAACATTATGTTGCTGGAAACTTTGATTCTTATAATTTAAAGAGTTTTTGGTATGTAATATTTCAGATTTTAATACTAAGATGGTACTTACTGCATAGCCCATATGTGCCTGTGTACTAGTCTCATACTACAAAGGTGATGTAATGGTAGAAAAGTGAAATAGTTAAAAACTGAACTGTTATTCTACTACCCTTCTCCCTCAAGGAGGAAAAGCCAATAAGGTAGGCTTTCTTATGTAACAGTCAATAGCTATTTCATTTCCACCTCCTTTGAGGTTGCCTGGACTATGTGAATACATGCCGAAGTTGCAAATGAAAGACTCAGTTTAGGAGCAAGAGGGCATTTACTGATTCTGGGAGTGTCTGAGTCTTTGACAGTAACCTAGGAACATTTGAAGCCATGAGTACCTATATATCTTGGCTCTGTTCAGCTGGGTACCAGGGAGAGAACTTCTTAGCTTTGGTAAGAATGGGTCCATAGATTACATGGCCACATAAAATTGTGTTCAGTATGTATACTTTTTAAAACCTAGAGAATCTTA